TCTCTATTTCACAAACTTGCCAAAATATTAGTGTAGGGGTGAGCATCAATAGTAAATAAAACCTTGCCACAGTAAATTGATCTAACTAAATTAAGTGTCATGAAATCATATTATCACATATCATAATAGCAATAATGCATGAGTGCAAGGCAAACTCCTCGTCTATTCTCATAATCAAGCGTACTTTCAACTTATGACATCCAAATAAAAAATTTAACATCAATAAAATTTTAAATATTTAATTATTCACTTTTGATAAACTACAAATTAAATTAAACCAAATAAACTCCCAAAAATTCACTAAATTATGTGAAAAAAATTTTACAATAATTTCTAAGCACCTCAAAATATTCAAGGTTTCACAAATGGGATGCAGATTGACTAAATTATATTGGTTTCAAACTTACGTGCACCCCTAGTTGTCACAGCATGATGTGAGAGCAATCAAGAAAACCAAATCAACCTTACACATCTTTTCCATGATTTCTCTCTATTTCTTTATTTAATATAATCAACCTCCTTCCCTCACTAATTGCAACTTGAGCAATCAAGAAAACCAAATCAACCTTACACATCTTTTCCATGATTTCTCTCTATTTCTTTATTTAATATAATCAACCTCCTTCCCTCACTAATTGCAACTTGTACAACGAGCGAGAAAAGTAGGCCATCAAAGATGCCTATTCATTTACTAACATTTGCGATATGTCTCTCTCTTTGCGCTTGGGGGTTGCGTTTATAAAGGGAAGATGATGTTCAGGGTGGGTTGGGGTGAGGGAGGGCGAAGAAGGTTAATGTTTGGGTTAGGGTTTAGTTTAGGTTTAGGTTTATTTTTTAAAATTATTAGCCTCTCCGGATGCGCTTCTGTGCCTGCGAGAGGTTTTTTTTTATTAAAAAAATTTAATTTATTTTAGAATTAAGAAAGATAATGGGTAGTTGTATTCCATAAAAATAGGATTTATGATCTGATTTTTCTTTTAATTTTAATTTTTTAAATATAAAAATGTAAATTTACCATATTATCCTCATTTAATTAATAATTTTAATTCTTAATGTTTGAATTAACTAAGGACATTTTTTGATATTTTGAATGTTTCACAATTCTCTAACTTTTGCTCTATATATATAGATTATTTTTTGTGGAAACAACCAATTTACCTTTAAATTGCGTCACATGCTTGGCACATGATAATTTTTGGGTAAAGTATCATTTTACCCCCCGAATTATGCTTAACCCCGTGAACTAAAAAGTCATCTAATTTAGCACTTGAACTCATTATAATAGATAATTTAGACCTTGCCACTAAATTTTTTAAAATTTCATCCAATTTTTCGTTATTAACAAGGATAAGATTATAATTTTGAGTAAAATAGGAGTAAAATATATAAAATAAAGAAAAAAAAATAAGATCTCTAAAATAAAATAACAATATTTATAATTTTATAATTTTATAATTGATAGGCTTAATTGCTACAATACACTCTGAAACATTGATCAATTCTCACTTCAACCCCTTAGTTAAAGTGACCCACTTTGCCTCCTTGACCAGGGTTTGATGTTCCACATTGCATCTACTGTTAACTCAATCCAAAAGTCTGTTAAGTTTGATGACGTGACAGGGTTGTTTTAGTAATTTTGTGCACCTAGGTTTTTTAATTACTTTAAAAAATTAAAATACAAACATAAAATTGAAAATAAAATAGATTTTAGAAAAAAAAAAAAAAAAAAAACCATACTCATCCCTTCTCCCCCAATCACACCAAATCCACCTCTTCATTCTCTGTCCTTCTAAACCCCCATTTCCCTCACCTACCAGAAACCCATTGCTCCCCCTACACCAGTAACCTACCCCTCCATGCGCAGAACCCAAAAACCTATTCCTTCCCCTGCAACCCACCCCATTCCTGCGCAGAACCGAGAAACCCATCACCCTCATCCCCTGACAACCCACTCTCCTTGGGCAGAATCCAAAACCCCTCCCCCCACCCTTCCCCCCTACCCCCACTGATTTCTTACACCTCCCCCGATTTCTTATTTGCTCCCCCTTCCCCCATTGCCCCTCCCTTTGGTTTTTTCTACCCCATTCCCACATAACCCTAGCCCTCATACCCAATCCCCTTATCCCCGACCCGTGCCCCTCTAGCCTATCTTCCCTATCGTAACCCACCCTGCACACGTTAGTATTTTAATTTTTTATTAATTTTTTTATCCATGCTGGAGGTGGGCTCTACTTTGCCACATTATCCACTCAAATTTGTGAATAAAAAACCTAGGTGCACAAAATTACTAATACACCTCTGCCACGTCATCAAACTTAAAGGACTTTTGGATGGAATTGATGGTAGAGGGCATTGTGGAACATCAAACCTTGATAAAAGGGGCAAAGTGGGTCACTTTAACTTTAAGGGGGTAAATTGAGAATTGACCAATGTTTCAAGGTGCACTGTAGCAATAAGAGTTTTTCTATTTGAACACCAAAGTTTTCTTTGTTCACCCCAATACTTAAATCATTAAGCTTTTAGGCCAAAAGTCACTTTTGATCCCTATAGTTTGGCACTTCAACCACTTTTGACCATGTAGTTTCAATTGCGTCACTTTTGACCTTGTAGTTTCATATTTGGAGCAATTCAAGGACAATATTAAATTTATGTTAATTTCTTTAACGGAGCAACCACGTGCCTCTCACGTGGAGGGGCAATATTGTCAGACCAAAACCCTACACTAAAAGTTGTCTCTACCTTTTCCTTAGGGCATGAAAATGGGCAATCAAAATCTCAAAATCCTCCTTCATTCACTATCCCAAATTCCCAGCACCTACCTAACCAATCTTTATCTCTTTCATCCCTTTCTCTCTCCCTACAGATCCAATCTTCCAAATAACCAATTTCTCTTCCTCATTTCTCAACTCCTTCCACCATTCTCCACCTCACACCCACCACCACTCATCATGCTTTTGTGAACTTTCTTCTTTTGCTATAACTGTAACGGGCATTGAATTTTTCTTTTGTTATCAGACATGCGTTTTTTGCTGCAAGTGTAAAACCTGGGTATAATGCAATCAAATTTGACTAAAAAAAACACTCAAATGTTCATTGTGAAATAGCAATCAGATTTAACAATCATAATAGAAAGATACTAAATTCTTGGTTTTTTATTTTTTTATTTTATACAAAGATACTTCATTAGAAAAGCCCTAGAAAGACCAAAGGAGGAAGTAAGATAGGAATAAACAATCCTGCATAAATACAAACTAGAACCACCAGGCAATAACAACTAAAGCCAAATCCAAAGAAAACCATAAGTAAAAATACATGACACCAACAAAGCCCTCCAACCATCGAGAAATGGTTGGTTTTACACTTTTGTACTTCATTTTCAAAGCAGCCACTTTCTCCTTCAATTGCTATAGTTGCTAAGTGGTGGTGGGTGTGAGGTGGAGAATGATGGAAGGAGTTGAGAAATGAGGGAGAGAAACTGGTTATTTAGAAGATTGAATTTGTAGGGAGAAAGAAAGAGATGGAGGATATAGAGATTGGTTAGGTTCTGGGAATTTGGGATAGTGAAGGAGGGAGGATTTTGAGATTTTGGTTGCCCATTTTCTGGCCCTAGGGAAGTGGTGGAGACCAGCTTTTAGAAAGGGGTTTTGGTCTGACAATATTGCCTCTCCACGTGAGGGGCACGTGGTTGCTCCGTTAAAGAAATTGACATAAATTTTATATTGTCCTTGAATTGCTCCAAATATGAAACTATAAGGTCAAAAGTGACGAAATTAAAACTACAGGGTCAAAAGTGGTTGAAGTGCCAAACTATAGGGACCAAAAGTGACATTTGGCTTAAGTTTTATTATTGTGTAAAAAGACAAAAAATGTCATACAACTTCATACTTAATCCTAGTACATCTATAAACACACTTCACCACTCTTCATAATAAGTTTTAGAAAAACACAAACTTTTCTACACCTTTATTTTATCAAAAGATTATTGAAGAGAAGTTTGTTTTATGCAAAGATATTAAGACCCTCTGCTGTTTGGAATAAAAATAAATAAATAGTAAAGTATGACCACAACCCTCTTTTCCCATTTTGAAATATGGAATTGGAATATGAAATTCTATTGTATAAATATGGAATCAGACAATAGAAATATTAATTTGTTAGGTGGATCAAATTGATATATAATTTTGATTTTTTGAAGTAGCAAGAAACTCTGGTTGCCTTTTGTTCATGTGTCTACTAATACCATCTCCAGTAGGGTATTTGTCCATCATTCTTCCTAGATCATTTTCAATTTTTCAAAAAAAAAAATATGTTGCTAAATATTTGACAACATTGTTTTTATCTTATGATCTAAGTACACCCTAATATTTTAATTAGAATGTAAAATTAACTAAGTACACCCTATAGAACTACCAAAAATACCCCTAATACACCCTAATACTTGTAGCATTATTTTATAGTTTAATAGTGTTTATAAATCTTTGAATTTTCATATGAATTTATGCTTCTACTAAAACTGTTGACACTTTTTTTGCAATTCCAAATTCTTGCAATCACCTCCTCTTCCATTAAAAACACAAGAGGACAAACAATCTCTTGATTAGGGTTAAATATGATTAGTAGGGTGTACTTATTAAAATTATATTTGTTTCACAATTCTATATATCCTTTTTGGTCATTTTATATTAGGGTAAATCAGTAATTCAATATATTCTTTTATAGTAGAGTGTACTCAGTTAATTTTAAGGTTCGTTTAGCAATACTCTTTAATTAATGTGAGGTTGAAGTGAACTTAAAGTGGTGAGAGACAAGATAGCGGGGTTGGGGGGTGTGAGGTTGATGAGTTTTTTTATTTTATTTTTCTTGTTGAGTGTGTATTTATGGGTAGTTTGAGAAGAAAGTGAGATTTTCTTAGAAATTGGGAAATTTTGAATTAAAAGTTGAGGTGAAGTTATAATACGGGTGAACAAAAAGAAGTGCGAGTAAAACTGAAAAAAAAAGACTAGCATTTCAAAGAGCCAAGAGTGCCAAACTTTGTACCAAGACACAATAGCTGGAGTGCAAAAATGAGAAGCTTGTCTTCTCTCTGCCGGAGTAGCTGGTTATCGAGGACAAGAAGAGAAGCTCCACACTCAATCTTATTCTCAAATACTCTCTGTACTGACAACAGTGATGGGGTTCAAAGCTCAAGGATCAAGATCTTCGATCGCCATTTCAGACGCAAACAGGTTCAAATCTCTTGTTCACAAATATCTGTGAAGTGTCTCAATTGGGCAATTGGGTTGAGGTCGGCAGTCTGAGAAATTATTGGATTAACTCATTTTCATTTGATTTTTCAGAAAAATTTGTTATTTGTTATTGTTCGGAAGGTGTTGAGTTTTCTATGTGTTTAATGTAGCTTCAATAGCTACCGAAAGACGATTGGTATTGCTGAACAAATTTATTTAATTTCAGCTTGATCGAGCTGCTTGGTTGATGCGCTCGAAGGATTCTTTTGTTGATACTGTTGCTGAGAATCTATTAGATCGTTTGGAGGTAACAAGATAGTTCTTTTTAGTTTAAGTCCACTAGTTCTTTTTACGGATTGGGTTATGATTACAAAATAGTTTTTTTGCTTCTAGCATTTGTTGGCTTCATCACTCTTATTTCAACAAATGGTGAGATGTGATTGGAAATTTAATTCAAGTCTTTAGCTTTAAGAGGGTTATTTTTTCCTGAGTTGGTCTTTTTCTTGTCTCACATCTTTCTGTCCATTTGTAATGATAATCACACCACTTCTGACAAATAAACTATAGTAACAACCAAATTATTTCCCGGTTAGTTCTGGCATCTGTATGGCATTGCGTATCTTGGGCTATTTTGTAGCTAAAGAATGAGATATGTCATCATGCGGTCCTCTACTATAGTTTCTCTAGGCTTCTGATGATTCTTAGATTCCAATTTCCTTGAGTGGCTATATTCTTTTGAAAGTTCCTGCCTGTCAATATGTGGGTTGATATGGTTGAATAATGTAGTTCTGTTTCTTTCCAAACTTAAGCCAACTTTCTTGTGTGATGTTTTTTCCCTTGCACAGAAGCTCAATTCCTAGTCTTGTATAAGATTTTCTTAGAGAAATGATTTGGTATCCAAAGCTTGTCTCATAACAATAACAAACTATTCCTAGTGCACTGGATTCCACCGTCATCTGATGTATTCAGTTAACAGTAGGACTGGTAACCTTCTCAGTGTATATTTTCCCTAGCACTCAATATTCAAAACAAGATTTTTTGACTTTGTATTTAAGAATATGTATTTGTTATAAAGAGTAATGATAAATGCAAAGTTTGAGCTTATGCCATTGCAGTATCCATATGCGAAATGTTAGAACTGTACTATGTCATGACCTTTATAGTACCAATATTTTCTTCTTTTTTTAATGTTTAAATTGGTATTTGTCTCATATTGCAGGATTGCAAGAAAACATTTCCGACAGCATTTTGTTTGGGAGGTTCGTTGGAAGCTGTCAGGCGTTTGTTACGTGGTCGTGGTAAGAAATTAGTTTTGTAATACCATTCTCCTTTCATCTTTGTATTTAGCTCTAACATATGGAGTAGCACATAATTTTTTTCTTCAAAGTTAATGAGATTAAATATGATTGTTTTGAGCCGTGTTTATGAAGATTATCTTATGACTAGTGTGATATCCTACATTTGTATCTGTGTCCTGTGATGGTGATTGTCTGATTAAGCTATCAATTAGTAGAGCCTTACCTAAAATAGTAGAATAAGAGTTTCTCTTAACTCTCTCTCGCTCTTACTCTTTGTGGCACAAGTGTGCACAACCTAATTCACTAGTTGTTTCCAAGAGAAGATAACTAAGGCAAAAGCAGAATGTTCATTATGATGGGTATGACATACAGCATAGTGTGATTGCTCAATTACAATAACTTAGATAACTTATATTATATTATATTATATTATTTTCTTTTAGGTGCCATCGAAAGGCTCATTATGATGTCTACATCACATGATATGGTAAAACTATGTAGAGATGCTGAGCATGGTGTACAGAGTGAAAACATTGAAACATCGTTTATGGTTGGTGACGAAGAGTTTTTACCTGTCAAAGAAAGGTATCCCCTCTAAATTTCATTTCTTTGTTAGGTTAAATTTACTATTGTTGGTGAGTTTTAACTTTTGATATGATGCCCTCTAATTTTATGTGTGAAGTTCTCTAGATCTGGTAATAAGTTGCTTGGGCCTTCACTGGACAAATGATCTTCCCGGAGCCATGATACAGGTATTTGCTCTTTCATTCTTGTTGCATGCCTCAATACTCAAGACTCAAGACTCAAGATCAATTTTATTTATAGATTAAAAGCTATGGAAATGCCTGTTTATGCTACTGCATTGGTTCATCATTTTCATATATTTACATACCGTCTAAGCTGTTAGCTATTTATATACCAAAAGATTTAATAGATTTGGTCAAAGTCCTACACTTTATTGAATACTCAAATCCAGAAAGTCAAGAGTAGAACTACATAAGCATGCATTTGTGGAGAAAACTACACGTCCACACACCAAGCACATACGTGCATACTTCTACATTGACACATAGATGTGAAAGAATAAATATCTGCATGATTTGAGTGATAATATGAGTACTTTGTTTTTATGAAACACTATTTTTCATGATATAAAATACCTAAATCTTAAAAACCTAATACACATGAAAACTATGTAATTGTTCAGACTTTATTGAAAAAGTTATTGCACTTAATGTTAATGGGAACTATGTTGCTTGTGATTTTCGTAGCTGATGAAATGATGGTTGTTGCTCTGAGAGAGTTAATTCCTACAAATTTACTGATGACTTTCATTTAATATTTGCATCCTTATTTCTTTTTGTTCTAGTTCTCTATACATGGTGTTATATGATCATCAATGTCATCATTGTCATCATCAGTATAGAATTCAGAATGTAACTGTATGGAAATATCTAAGCTAGATGTTTGTGTGTGACAGAGCAGATTGGCATTGAAGCCAGATGGCCTATTTTTAGCTGCAATTCTTGGTGGAGAAACCTTAAAGTCATTTTCTGTTTATCTATAGTTACTTTAAAACTTGACAGTAGTTTACTACTCAAGAAATGCATAGTCGATTATTTACTTCTTCTTTTTTGTTACTAGAGAGCTGAGAATAGCATGCACAGTGGCACAAATGGAGCGTGAAGGAGGCATCAGTCCACGAATATCACCTTTGGCACAAGTATGTAATTTATTGCATTGGTTTTCATTTTCTAAGGGATCCGAGTAGTTGTTTTGTTTTTCGGTCTGATATGGATTTTTCCATTTGGTTATTTGATATTTTCCTCAGAAGAATTTGTTCTTTTTAATAACTCCTGGAACGTTGAAAGAAGTAGTATAGTGGAATTTAGAGTGAGTCATCATTTCCTTTACAACTCTGTAATTTCCCAAGCATACTAAAATTGATTAATTCAAAGTAATGTTTGTATTTATATTGTTATTTTTAATGAAATCAAACATTCACTTGAGGTTAGTACCCCATTTTTTTTTTTTCCCTATTTTATCTTTCTATCAGCTTCTGCATGCGTTTGAAAAGGTAGTTGCAACTTGTGACCTTCCTGGAAGAATTGACTGTATCCTGTAATATTTTGAGCATAGTTGGCAACTTGGCAGGTTTCATCTGGTTGGATATGGATTGTTGTGAAGTTTTTTATTTTATGAGTGATCAGTTATAAATAAAATTATGCCACTGGTGCGAATGCTTTATGTGCTGGATGGAGAGCTAATGCAGGGATTTTGGTATATACTATTTCATATAAAATTGGATGACCAGAAGTGTGAATAATCATGGCAGTTGTTGTATGATATATTTGACATACCTTTTTTGATATTTGTGTTTTGTCGTGCTCTCTTTGCCCTTATTTTGTTAATCCCCACTGTGAATACTGAAACCCACATTTGGAATATTAAACCTTGCATGTCAATATGTAAGATATTAGGCCTCTCCACCCTTTGATGCCTTAATTTTAATGTGGCATCGGAAAGGGCAATCCATGTGTCAGACCCGATGGCCCAGACGTGCTTCATGTTACCCAATATGGTTGATCCATGTGTTTGGTCCAATCATGCCACATATTAGGGGGCTCGTTGAGAGTATAGAACATTATTGTGAATTCTAAGCCTTGCATTACAAACAATGTATAATATCTTTGGTCTCCCCAATGGTGCCACATGTAAGGGGGTGCGTTGAGAGTATTAAACACCACATTAGGAATACTAAGCCTTGCATGACGATATATAAATCTTTGGCTACTTCACCCATTGCCAATTCGTTTTGGGTTGGATGACTTAACTTTAACAATCCCCTTCTTGAGCATTTACTTATTATTCTTTATCATAAATGAATATCTTTTTCTCCTTCTTTCATTGTTTTGTTTCCGTAAAAGTATATTACTGAGTGGTTAAAAATCAAAATTTGCACATGTGAATCCTCATGCCCCCCCTCTTTTCTTTTGGGGTTTAGGTGCGGGATGCAGGCAATCTTTTGACCAGGGCAGGTTTTTCCCTTCCAGGTGTTGATGTTGACGAATTTGTAGTCAGATATCCAAGTGGTGAGCATTCCCAGTCTAAGTTACAGCTCTGGACCTGTAATTGTAATAATTTTGGACTCATGAATTTACTGGCTAAAACTCGGATGTTCCATGTCTTAATATGTTCATGCCTTCAATTTTAGCGTTATGTGGTGTTTCTTTAAGCTTGATTGCATGTTGTCGTTGGAGGGGAACAGAAATCTGTTATACAAATATGGTAGTCTATCTACTGGTGTTCACTTTCCCCTTCCCATCTTAGGAGTTGCTAGACATGGTAGATGCTAACTTCACTTGGTCTCTTCATTTGAAATTGTCATATTTTTCGTAGTTCATTATTTTTATTTTTTTGGTTAAAGCTTTCATTCTTTTTGTAGACTAAGCTCCTTCAATCTCCTGTTACAAGAAGGGTTGATGGGGTAGGTGATAGGATGCTTTTTGTTTTTATTTTCAGAAGGGGTGGGTGAGGGGATGATAACAGATATCTATTGAGTATGGTTTAGTAAAATCGCGTACGTTATGTCATGAGCATAAAGTCCCGCTTTCCAATGAAATGATGCATGTACATAGAAGATAAAAGGTCTATCAGTTTATGTTCTGTTGAAGTGGTGGAAGTTAAATGGAAATTCTTACCCCAGGTTGGTTCTCAGCTTTATAGTGCACTGTGCAAAGATTGAAAGTAGGGCTACTCATACAAAGAAACACAATAAAATGTGTCTTTCTTGATGCCATATTTTGGTAGATTTTTATTTTATTTTATAGCTTAGGAGTCGTGATTGAATAATTGATATAAAAGTATTACTAAGAATGTTAACTCCCTTGAGGAAGTCCCAGAATAGTTTAAAGTCTACAATTCCAAACACATGAAATAGTTAAAGTCCATAATGAATTTAACCTATTAGCAAACAAAATAATAGATGTCAGTTTTGAATATGAACTGACAAAAGGATAAAGAACTAGATACCAAATAAAAATTTCGAACCACAAATAAAGTTTGAATAAATTGATTCATATATGTATATATACTTTAAAAAGGGCCTATGTACAAAACAGTTTGGGGACCCTTTAACACTGGGGGCCTGTACCATGGTACCATTTGGACATGGTCAGGGATGGCCCTGATTATACACTTCCATTCAGACTGTTTAATAAAATTCAGCATGCTTAGAAGGCAATAATTACTTGGACAAAGCATCTGATCCGAATTTGACTTGTGTCCAACCTCTAATTTTCCTCTCTTTTCTGGTTCCTTTTTCTTTTCTTTGTTTTGTTTGTCTTGGGTTACATAAGAAAGAGGAGTTGGTGGGGACCGGGTTGGCAACTTGTATGTCAAAAACATGACTGGTTTAGGCAGCTCTAAGATCAAACTCCTTAGTTCTACAAACTTTATTTTTGTTTTGAACTGATAAGCATGCATAATATTTGAAGGCAATGAGTACATTAATATAGCAACAATTTTTTTGGGTGTGATTTGTCTTGTTTGAATATCATGTCTTACTCCTGTTGCCTAAGTCTTTTGTCATTCATTATTTTTGGTCTTTTCCCTTCATTGTAGCCCTGGATCTCGTAGAACATCTGCGTGCCATGGGTGAAACCAATGCCCTTTTACAAAGGAACACTGTAAGATATATTTACTTTTGGGCAGACTATGTTTGTGTACATTATCAAGTAATATTTATGTTTTACTTTTATCTAATCCTATTGATGGGTCTGATCTTCTTATCATTCAAATCAGATTCTAAAGAGGGAAACTGCTCTGGCCACTGCTGCAATTTATGATTCAATGTTTGCAGCAGAAGATGGCACCATCCCTGCAACCTTCCAGGTGAGCATATAACAAACTCCCTTACTAGTCATTTCTTGAAAAAATAGATAAGTAATAAACCCTATCATAACTGGGGAAAAAACTAAAACATAAACGGACGTCTGAATGACCAGGGATCCTGTCAGGGAAGCTTTATATTGTGTCAAAGAGTCTCAATTTGAACCATTGACCAGAATGTGTGGTTTGAAAACATAAGTCCCAAATTTAATTGGCTGAGCTTGGCTAGTCAAGTCTGAGTTGTGGAACCTACCTAAGCATGCTACCCGAAGCACCTTGGAGTTGAGAGAGAGGCCTTGACTTTGTCTTGATGGATGCGACTTTGACTTGATTGTCATGATTCTGTCTCGGCTTTGGTTTTAGTGTTGTCAACTGAGAGCTTGGAACAGTCGATTGTTTAGGGCATCTTTGTTGCACACATTTATGAAATTTGACAACTTAAAAGGTGGACTAACAAGGTTTTGTATTCCTCTCATGTACTGTCTGTGCCATGGACTTGTCTCATAATTAACCACTGAAGGGTGCTCTATAATACTTATGGAAAATCTTCGAGAAAGACATCCGGCATGCTTCTTTTCATTTAATCACCACTGTCACATCGGTGTTTAAGAGGCGTTCTGCACCTTGTTCTCCTTGTATTATTGTGCAATTGCATAGCAATCTGACTTGTATAGAATGCTGTCCATTGTACTGCAATAGTAGTGTATAAGCAAAGTTTCATGGCAGCAAGTTTTTGTTGATTGTAATTAGTAGGCAGTAGAGACTGCAATTAGAGCTCGAATCGCCCATCATTTTCTCTGTGTATTACCACTAAAAAAAGAAATGGAAAAATAAGGGGTTCCTTATATGTTCAGTGGATCAATGCTGGCAACGTGCCTTGATAATTATATGAGTGGTTCTTGGTTTTGCAGGTTATTTATATGACAGGGTGGAGGGACCATCCATCTCAGCAGAAGGCAAAAAGGAGGGGCTCTGCAACTGTGTCCTTTCAGGACATCCAGAAGCAATTTGGAAGTGAAAGTTGATGAACTCTTTCTGCATGGGGCTTGGCTGTTGTTTTCTAAGCATATGAAAGTGAATTTTCTCTACAGGATCATGATATAGTTCTTGAATAATACTTATGGGAGCCACTTGTGTACTTATTTTGTGAGAGAAAAACAACTGCGGGACCAAAATGTGCGGTCTTTGGTTTTTTTGGACAAAACCAAAACCAAAACCAAAATGTGTTGTTAATCAAGATATTTTAGTGGATACTTCCTTTTTGGGTAATTTCCAATTTCTCTTTTGGAGGTAGTTCTTACAAACCCCAAAATTTATTATGTCACAGCCTAAAAAAGATAATGGATTGTGTTCCATAAAAATAGGATTCATTATCTGATTTTTTTTTAATTTTAATTTTTTAAAATATGAAAAAGTGTGAATTTACCATATTATCCTCATTTAATTAATAATTTCAATTCTTAAACCAAGGGCATTTTCTGGTATTTTGAATGTTTCACAATTTTCTTCCTTTTGCTTTATATATATAGATTAAAAGAGCACCCCTGCTATTTTAAATTTGTAACTAATATATTTACATATCAAATAACTATACCCTAATAGTTATCAAAATAGGAATTGGATTAGTAATTGTGATTAGAATGGAGATCGTAATATTGTAGGGTTTAGGGAAGTCGGCATAAATTTTTGTTTCCTTCCCTAGTTAGGAAAGTATACAAATGTCACTATATATAGATACATCAAATCAAATACAAAAACACAATGAACAGAAACCCATCCTTCAAGTGCTTCCGATCCCATGGCTTTTTACAAGTGTCTTTTTTTCGCATCTCTCATATTTAGCACAGTTTTCGTCACCAAGTCACAACAAGCTTGCACGCCCCAAGCCTTCAACCAAAAGACCTTTGCTGCATGCCATAATCTACCGATTTTGAACTCCACGATACACTGGAATTATTACCCCTCCAAAGGCACCGTCGACGTGGCGTTCGCACAAGCCGTGGTGAGCGACTCCAGATGGGTTGCATGGGCCATAAACCCTACCTCTACTGGCATGGTGGGCTCCCAAGCTATCGTGGCTTTCAAGAGAACAGACGGAGCTATGTCCGTTTACTCGTCCCCGATCAAGAGCTATGGAACTCGTTTGGAGCAAGGAAATCTCAGCTTCCCTCTGTTTGATGTCTCCGCCGTGTACGAGAACCACCAGATCGTCATCTTCGCCACCGTAGGCCTTCCCAACAACGTCAGTGTCGTCAACCATGTTTGGCAGCAAGGACCTTTGTCCGGAAACACACCGCAGATGCACTCCGTGTCCGGACCAAACGTTCAGTCCTTTGGAACTCTGGATTTTCTTTCCGGGAAAGTGGAAACAGTCAGGAGGGGAACGAGTTCTGTATTCAGAGTGAAGATTTCTCATGGAATTATTAATACCATCAGTTGGGGCATTCTGATGCCCGTTGGGGCTATTGTGGCGAGGCATTTCAAGGCTGCTGATCCAGCATGGTTTCATGTTCATAGGGCGTGTCAGATGCTGGGATATTTTGGTGGAGTTGCTGGGTTCGCAACCGGGCTTTGGCTCGGCCATAAATCTTCAGGGGTTGAATATAAAGGACACCGATGCATAGGCATCACTCTTTTTGCTCTTGCAACACTACAGGTGTTGGTTGCTTTGGGTTTGAGGCCCAACAAGACAGACAAGAAGAGAGTTTTCTGGAACTGGTTTCACTACTTGGTCGGTTATGGAACAATCATTCTCGGCATTGTCAACATCCTAAAAGGATTTGATATGCTTCAGCCAGGAAAATGGTGGAAATTTTCATATCTTATCACCATCGGTGTTTTGGGCTGTGTTGCTGCAGTGTTAGAAGCACGCGCATGGATTCTAGTTTTGATAAGGAAGACCGATCAAGCTGCAGAACAAAATAAGGATGACACGAGTGTAGTTTAAGATAGTGTAAGAAGTGATAATTAGCTTTACAATTGTATTTACTTATTTTCGTGTCAATTGTATCTGTACTCATTTTTAATTTCAAGGATCATATATAATATTTTTTGTTTTTGTTAAAGTACGTCTCAATTTGATATGTGATAATGTGAATGTCAACCAACATATAATACTCTTTACACATATTAAAATATTTTCTTTTTTAAAATATAAAATTAGTTTCTTTAGGACAATAAATAGTTTTTTATTTTCTTTTTTATAATTAAATAATATCTTAGCATTAATTAATTAGTAATTATATTATTTTTAGCTAGGTCTAATCCGGCAAATAGTTGCCGGCATAGACCTGTGCCGATGAAATATCGTGGGGACACGTACGTCTTCTTGCTATTTATTTATTTATTTATTTTTAAAATATAAAATTTGTTTCTTTATTATATTTTTTGTCCAACTTCTTTAATTCAATATATATGTCATTAAGTAATATCTTAGTCTTTTTAATTACTTCAATTAGTAATTATATTATCATTCCAATATAGGGCACCTAAAAATATAAGCAACGTCATCATATCACTTTTCATACACATGCAACACACAAACAATGCATAAATTTTCTCTCAACCCTAAGTGCACAGAGGAACAAAGCTAAAACGTAAATACATACCATATCTAATTGATTCATTATCTCAAGGCTCAACTTTGCTACAGGGAAATCCATATTTTTATTGTTATATTTAAAGAGTATAGCCGCGCGGCTATACACTGTAAACATAACAGGAGATAAGCCGTAAACAGTTTCGAGAGTATTCTGTTTTTTAAGACCTCTTGAAACAATTCGAGACCCTTCTTTGATATGTAGCTGTAGCGATGAATGTCCATATCTATCTCAAAGTAGTTAGGACCTGCATGTGAGAGAGCTTGATAAAGTCAAAACAACATGGTTTTTATGTTTCATCATCTTAACACTAGCAATGTAAATGTTCAATGTTTACCTTGTAAAAATTGTGTTGGCCTGCTATACCTATTTTTGACACGTGGCTTTAAACGATAGAGGTTCTTCTTTTATTTTTTTTTTAAAAAGAGGGTACCACCGCACGGCTATACTCCATGCTTTTAATTTTTTTTTAAAGACATGTGCTGTCACGTGGCGCCACATGGCTGGAGTCTTTTTTATAGTATAGCCGAACGGGTATACTCAGTTTTGAAATATTTTTTCAAAATACGTGTTGACACGTGGCGCCCAATGGCTGGGGTCGTGTCCGGACCAAACGTTCAGTCCTTTGGAACTCTGGATTTTCTTTCCGGGAAAGTGGAAACAGTCAGGAGGGGAACGAGTTCTGTATTCAGAGTGAAGATTTCTCATGGAATTATTAATACCATCAGTTGGGGCATTCTGATGCCCGTTGGGGCTATTGTGGCGAGGCATTTCAAGGCTGCTGATCCAGCATGGTTTCATGTTCATAGGGCGTGTCAGATGCTGGGATATTTTGGTGGAGTTGCTGGGTTCGCAACCGGGCTTTGGCTCGGCCATAAATCTTCAGGGGTTGAATATAAAGGACACCGATGCATAGGCATCACTCTTTTTGCTCTTGCAACACTACAGGTGTTGGTTGCTTTGGGTTTGAGGCCCAACAAGACAGACAAGAAGAGAGTTTTCTGGAACTGGTTTCACTACTTGGTCGGTTATGGAACAATCATTCTCGGCATTGTCAACATCCTAAAAGGATTTGATATGCTTCAGCCAGGAAAATGGTGGAAATTTTCATATCTTATCACCATCGGTGTTTTGGGCTGTGTTGCTGCAGTGTTAGAAGCACGCGCATGGATTCTAGTTTTGATAAGGAAGACCGATCAAGCTGCAGAACAAAATAAGGATGACACGAGTGTAGTTTAAGATAGTGTAAGAAGTGATAATTAGCTTTACAATTGTATTTACTTATTTTCGTGTCAATTGTATCTGTACTCATTTTTAATTTCAAGGATCATATATAATATTTTTTGTTTTTGTTAAAGTACGTCTCAATTTGATATGTGATAATGTGAATGTCAACCAACATATAATACTCTTTACACATATTAAAATATTTTCTTTTTTAAAATATAAAATTAGTTTCTTTAGGACAATAAATAGTTTTTTATTTTCTTTTTTATAATTAAATAATATCTTATCATTAATTAATTAGTAATTATATTATTTTTAGCTAGGTCTAATCCGGCAAATAGTTGCCGGCATAGACCTGTGCCGATGAAATATCGTGGGGACACGTACGTCTTCTTGCTATTTATTTATTTATTTATTTTTAAAATATAAAATTTGTTTCTTTATTATATTTTTTGTCCAACTTCTTTAATTCAATATATATGTCATTAAGTAATATCTTAGTCTTTTTAATTACTTCAATTAGTAATTATATTATCATTCCAATATAGGGCACCTAAAAATATAAGCAACGTCATCATATCACTTTTCATACACATGCAACACACAAACAATGCATAAATTTTCTCTCAACCCTAAGTGCACAGAGGAACAAAGCTAAAACGTAAATACATACCATATCTAATTGATTCATTATCTCAAGGCTCAACTTTGCTACAGGGAAATCCATATTTTTATTGTTATATTTAAAGAGTATAGCCGCGCGGCTATACACTGTAAACATAACAGGAGATAAGCCGTAAACAGTTTCGAGAGTATTCTGTTTTTTAAGACCTCTTGAAACAATTCGAGACCCTTCTTTGATATGTAGCTGTAGCGATGAATGTCCATATCTATCTCAAAGTAGTTAGGACCTGCATGTGAGAGAGCTTGATAAAGTCAAAACAACATGGTTTTTATGTTTCATCATCTTAACACTAGCAATGTAAATGTTCAATGTTTACCTTGTAAAAATTGTGTTGGCCTGCTATACCTATTTTTGACACGTGGCTTTAAACGATAGAGGTTCTTCTTTTATTTTTTTTTTAAAAAGAGGGTACCACCGCACGGCTATACTCCATGCTTTTAATTTTTTTTTAAAGACATGTGCTGTCACGTGGCGCCACATGGCTGGAGTCTTTTTTATAGTATAGCCGAACGGGTATACTCAGTTTTGAAATATTTTTTCAAAATACGTGTTGACACGTGGCGCCCAATGGCTGGGGTCTTTTTTTGAAATTGTTTTTAAAAAGACATGTGTTGACATGTGGTGGCTAATGGCTGGAGTCTTTTTTATATTAAAAATCGTATAGCCGCACGGCTATACTTAGTTTTGATTTTTTTTTTTTAAATCATGTGTTGACACATAGGGCATAATGGCTGGGGGTCTTTTTTTATATTAAAAAATAGTATAGCCGGCTAATACTCAGTTTTGAAATTTTTTTAAGGAAGATGTGTTGACACGTGGAGTCAAATGGTTGGGGTCCTTTTTTATATTAAAAATTAGTATCACCGCGCGGGTATTCTCTGTTTTGAATTTTTTATAAAAGACATGTGTTGTCATGTGGCTTCAAATGGTTGGGAGACCTTTTTATATTAAGAAATAGTATAGCTGCCCGGCTATACTCAGTTTAAATATAAATAAATAAATAAATAAATAAATAAATAAATAAATATATATGGGGGCGGATCCGTGACATTATATTTTTTACACAAGTTTTAAACCCTTAGATTAGCCCACTATCAATGGATGTAATTAAAGAAATTAATTATTTTATTCTTTAAATAAGCAATTATAGAACATAAATTTTAATTGACTTTTTTTATTTCCTCTCTCTTCATTTAATTAAGTTTTGATGGCTTATTGACACAAGGCACTTCTTCTTCTTCTCTTCTTCGTGCCTTCTCATTAACACCACCTCCCTTCTTCTTCTTGCTTTTTTCAGTAAGCCTCAAATCACATACTAGCCATCCAATTTCAGCAAATCATTCCATCTAAATCACAAACTAGCAATTAATCCTTAGAGTTAAGATTTATATTGATAAATCATTGTTTTAATAATCTACACAACAAGTTGCAGAGTAGATCACATTAATCTAGCCAATTTGTGGGCGTTGGAGAGAAACTAGGTTTTTGTTTCTGTTCAATCAAAATTACTTCAGAATTAAGGAAGTAACGCGCCTTAGTTTTCATTCTCTTTATTTCCTATTTTGCTCTTGCCCTTTGTCCCTCTGCATCTTTGTGTCTCTCTCTTCTTCTCCATTCATTCATCTCCCCTCTACATCTTACAATTTCCCACCAATAATTATTAGAAAGAGAGAGAGAGAGCAAACACAGAGTTAGACCAACCAAACCATAGAGAAGAAATATTGCAACAAATCTGGGCTTTTCTTTTAAATATTAAAATCCTAGCTTGAGATAGATTTTCTATGTCGTGGGAGAATGCTCGGTTGGTGCAGATGAAAATGGCAAGGGGAAGGTAATGGTGAGGTTTCGCAGGATATTAATTGAGAAGAGAGAAAATGATAAGAAAACAAAAGGGGGAAAGATAATGAGTGATTTTTAGGATTATCATAACTAATAAATAAAAATGAAATTTACTTGGCATTAGAGATTTAAT